ACCGTTAATAAACCCTGTTGGAAACTCTCCAGAATTCGGTTTTTCCCATCAGGATCTCTTACTCTTTGCCCTTCCCCACTCCATCCCCGTGGAGGATTAAGGATCATCGAGTCTCCTAAAGCGTAAAGGCAGAGCGGAGCCTTACGGCGCGCTACTTCCGGGTAGTGAGAGCCTGTCTAGCCCACCAAGCGAGCACTCTGCTGCTCCAGCCCTTTTCGCGCCTGTTCTGCCAGTGCGCATGCGCCTTGCGCGCTCGGCGGGCTGCGGCGGGGGGGAGGCGCCATTTTGAGGCGGGTGTTGGGTGATCCCGGTCTCCTTCTTCTGGACTCCCTTATCTTTCAGGATTTCTTCACGAGGGGCTGTGTCAGCTCCCAAAGTCCCAAAGTCTTGGCTTTCTTTCTGCATAAGGAAAGTGGTGCTGGGATTTTACAAGCTTTAGCGCTTGCAGTACACTGTGTTCAGGGAGAGGATTAAAATTAGATACTAAGTCTGTGAGAATCAAGGCTGGGAACTTGGACTGTTGTGCTGACAGTGTCCTATAAATGCCAATTAAAAAAAAGAACACAACTAGAACTATTATTCTACCATGAGATACCAATGAACCCAACAGAAGAAGCTGGCTACACTTTTTTAAATGAGTTTCAGGATGGACCTAATGCATATTTCTTTTAGCAATAGTGTCTTAAAGATAACTTGCTTCACTTCAAATATGCAGCACATGATTATAGCAATTGAGTGCAGTTCGTTTTCCAGTAGATTATGCTTCCATTTGAATCTTTGCCGGTCAGGTATAAAAGCTCAGATCTGTGTATGCTCCAGTGACCAGATCATGTAACTGAGACTAAGTCTCGGTAAGGTCCATAAAAGAGGATTTTTGAACAGGTGGCTTGCTTAAGAGATTTTAATAATACAGCACTTTAAGCTTTGTATTATTAGAGGAGCTGGTAAAAAGTAGTGTAGCTGAAGGTATAAATGATAAACTTTTGATGCTATTTCACGGAATCACAAAATGGTTGAGGTTGGAAGGAACCTCTAGAGATCACCTAGTCCAACCCCCTGCTCCAGCAGGGACACCCAGAGCAGGGGCACAGGGTGGCATCCAGGTGGGTTTGAAGATCTCCAGAGCAGGAGACTCCACAGCCTCTCTGGGCAGCCTGTTCCAGGGCTCGAGCACCCTCACAGGAAAGAAGTTCTTCCTCGCATGGAGATTAAAATTCCTGTGTTTCAACTTACACCCATTAACCCTTGTCCTGTCACTGGCCACCACGGAGAAGACTTTGGCTCCATCCTCTCTACATTCAGCCCTCAGGTACTTGAACATGTTGATCAGGTCCCTTCAGTCTTCTCCAGGCCAGGTGGGCCCAGCTCACTTAGTCTTTCCCCATATGACAGATGTTCCAGTCCCTTAATCATCTCTGTCGCTCTACACTGGACCCTTTCTAGAGGTTCTACAAAACTTGTCAGTTGGAAAAAAGATTACAACTACTGGGGAGAAAAAGAAAGCAAAGGATGTACCTGTGGTCTTCAGCTTTGCTCCCATCGGATGTAGCGGTGCTGCGATGCGCGTGTTCTTCATCTGAGCAGCTGGGTAGCTGAGCTGAGGAGCTCTTACTTTGAGGATTTGTCAAAACCGAACTTGATGTTATGGTTTTAGACGTCCGGACGTGCTCAAGGAAGTAATTAGTAACAATCTCCAGAAGTGTTTTCAGTGGATTCTCCTTTGCCTGCTCAAGAAGAAAAATAAAGCTCTTGGTGACTATTAAGACTCTTTAGTTAGTCTTGCTATACTCTGAGAGGGGATATTTCCTCTTCTACTGTACAGTGACTGAAAATCTTTTAACATTTTATAGGTATAGATACTTTTTATAGGTTTAGCTACTTGCAGGCTTATACTGGATGTGACTGTATAAAGTGTACAGGAAACTAGAAGATGTGGGGGAAGTTAAAGGTCTGAATTCTTAAATGAGCTATCGCTTAATTTTAGGGCAACAACCTTCTGCCCCCTCCATACACACACACACACACCCCACTTTACTATTTTTAGTACTATGTGAGAAAATAGGTCATGTGAAGATGAGGTCCTAGGAATTTAGCTTTTTTAAAAAGAAAAAAAAAAGTAGTGTTTGCTGCAGTAATCTAAATAGGAAGTTTTCTAAATTACATTTTCTTAATGATGTAGTAATGGATAGTGTTGTTAGGATGCTGCCTAAAAAAAAAAAAAAAAAAAAAAAAAAAAAAAAAAAAAAAAAAACCATGATTCCTGAAGTCATAAGTGGCCCACACTGGTTTTAGGGACCAAATGGAAATTATTCACTGATGTCCCTGACATCAAGCAATGTGATTTGTGTTATCTTAAAGAATGAGTACATAGTAAAAGTATACTCCTATCCCACAGGTCTCATATAAAGTCTCAAATGGAAACAGGCTTGCAGAGATGTGCTGAAATCGAATAATCTAGCCATAGCAATAACAGGTTTTAAAGTTAATAACTGCTTCTTCATTTGAAGTTGTAGTTTGTAACAAGGGCTCAGGCACTGCCAGTAGTTCACGAACCTCCCTGTGCTCCCAGCTCAAGGTGATGCTCCCCGTTACTCCAGCAAACGCTTGTGGCCACGAAATGCAGCGGCGCGTTCGGGCCTGAGTGTTCGCGGTCTGAGTATGTGCTGCAGCCCTGACCCGCCTGGGCTGGTTTCACAGAATGGGATTAACCACTTCTGGGGAGGAAGGTCTAATTCCTTACCTTGTTCTGCTTGTATAAGGAGTGTAAATGCAGGACATCCCGAAGTTCACTCCTGTTATTGATGCTGAGTGCGGAACGTGGAAATTCTCGGTCCATGGTAGCGATAGTTTTCTTCAAACCCTGGAAAGAAGTGTCCGATTTAGTCTTTACTAAAGACAGTGCCTTTACTAAAGACAGTGCAGCTAGCTACCAGAGCTTTTATTCTCGACTTTGTTGGACCTCTTATGAGAGTTCTGGATGTACTAAAATGCTAATATTTAATAAAAAGATGACCTCAAAAACCAACTCTACTATAATACTACAATCTTGGGTTACCACAGTGCACAAATGTTAACATAACATATTTTATGGTACTGTTATCTGTGCGGCAGAAATAAAAATTAAAAACAAGCCGTCTTATTGCTAACTTCACCTGTTTTAACACCTTTGCAAGACTCCATGGTCGATCTGTGTGAAAGCCCCTGCTAGAACCTGGGCTTGTGAATCACATAATTCCAGAAATAATGAATTTACTTTTTTTCTATCAAAAATCCTAAATGCAGTTTTGGCTTCAGTACCTACACAGTCTAGACAGCAGATCTAAACTTGATCTCTTGGCCGATACAGAACAAATTTCAGAAGTGTCCGGAGACATTCAGGAATGTCCAGAGTTCAGGCCTGTCCGGTTAGTCTCTGGTCACAAATCAATAGCATTAGCTAGCATTAGTTTTAGAAACTGAAATGAAATTTTGCACCATCCAGTGTACTCCAGTTGTGGTCCACCTCTTCCTCACTTGGGAGCTCCAGAGACTACGAGTGTGGACTTGGCACTTGCTAGGCGAAGAGCTTGATTTCCCGGGAAATGTCCGGATCAAATTCCAAAGTTCTTCAAGCAGTGCAATGTCAGAGTGCCACCGGAGAGAGAGTGTTTAGGTACTTTCTATGAAGTGTTACTGCTACAAGAATGTATTCTGTTTTCCCCTGCAGATGTTTTGCCTGGCTCAGAGTTAGGGGTGCCTGGACAAGTCGTAGCAAGTGAAGAATGATTCAGTGTGTTGGCTTCACTGCGTATTGAAGGATTGGGACAGAGGGGAAAACGTGCAGAAACACCAAGGGTTTTCGTGTCCCCTGCTTTGACACCATGGTGTGTGATAGCAAACAGATGCTACAATGTATGTCTAAGTTACTGTTGTGAATTCTATCCAGTGCAACATTCCTATCCCTTTTATGTTTTGATTCAATTTTATGTTCAAACATGTCCAGCTTTGCAATTTAATGAGCAAAAGTTTAAACATTGTTCACAAACACCGAGAATATGCACCGAGACGGGCTGCAAAACAGGCAAGAGTGGGGTTTGTACTGCACTTAATAGCACTGTGCTATCACTGATATTAACAAGCTTACTGCTGCCACTAGTGGATTGGACTGACCAGCAGCAATATTTTCTCAGGCTTGCAAGTAAGAAATACAGCGAGGTAGACGATTTTACCTGGAAATGTGAAAGGTGAATTTGTCCTCTGCTCCATCCCACTCTCCCTATACTTACACTGCAAAGGATTTCCTTTACAGCATTAAGCTTGTGAAATGTACAGTGGCCTCTTTCTCCTTCTTTCCTCTCCCCACCCTGATAAATCTGCAGTTTTCTAAGCTATTAACTGAAAACCAGAAAAACACACTTTACCGTTTCCTCTAGCTCTGTTGCCTTTTGCCTTTTTTTGCTATTAGTTGGTCTGGGGAGTCGCCTTGTTATCTTCTAATCCCAGGGGCAATAGCAAGATTGGTAATAAAAGGCAAAATTGGGAAATCTGCCTTTCTGGAGTTAACATTGTCTGTTGCTGGCACATCTGGGTAGGAATGGGGTTTTCTCGGAGGAAGCCGCCTTCCATATTCAGAAATAAAGAGGCATTGTGGGATGTGTAGTACCGATGCCTGCTCAAAAGGCTTAATACAGCTCAGGACTAGCTGCCCTAGTGCTGGAACAAGTCCGACCCTCCCAATCCCGCCCCACATTCCTTAATCTTTAACATTTTCCTCATGTGTCCTTTTCATTTGCACTAGCTGGAGAAAATCGAGACAAATTACCTTTCTACTGAGAAATTCTCTCACCAGTGATGCAGCCACTTCTTCCACAAAGGAGTTATCCATTTTTTTAGCCCCAAGTGTGCTTAGGGGGCGGATTCTTTACTCCAGCTAACAAATCAGTCAAATCTGCCGACATTGCAGCTCTTCCGTGCCGCTTTTTAACCACTGCGTTCCCGAAGCAGCGGAGGGCAGGACTGCAGCAGCGCGGCAGGCGCAGGGAGATGTTGCTGTGGAGACCTGTGTCATCGGAAGCAGGGAGAACTCCTCCCCCTGGGAGGGAAGCAATGGAGAACTAAAACAGCCCATGACACTGCAAGGAACACCTCAGTAAATGCTTTGAAAACGTAAAAACTCT